GTTGGACCCGAGGACTTTGCTGCATTAGCTTCTCGCTGTTCTACATTTGGCTACTGTCTTTTGAATCACCAGGTAATTATTGTTCATTGAATAAAACACTTTGTTTTTATATAAATAATAAGACACTTTTATTTGCGTACTTATACGCATGTTTCAGTTACAATTATGGAACGACCCGATGTTTGCGCCTTGAATACGCAATTTGCGATACTCAAAGATAGGATTGTTGCACAAAAACATTTTATTATACGATCTGAAAAATTTTCCGGTCACAAAGGAAGGGAAAAAAGGTTTTTTTTTAAATATTAATAATTGGATGAAAATATTAATTATTGGAAAAGAAAAATTTAGACCGTTTAAATCGGCCTCCTTTTTGCGCGTTGGCTGCGTGACGTCACCTGCTGGTACGCGCGCGGTAGACTGATTACATTGCCTATATAAACGTGTATACATCAATTGAAAATATGGATAATACGGATAAAAACACGGCAAATTCAAAAACGAAAGGCTCGTATAAGTAGTGTTTTGTATATAAGTGTACTAATACAAGTATAAAAACATCGGGAAAAATATTTTTAACTGTGCCATGTGATATTAAACGTCGAAAATTATGGTTACGAATGGCAAGGCGGGACGACATAACAAATCCACCAACAAGTTGCTTGTTTTGCTGCGAAGATTATTTTAATGTACAGACGGCGTCATTAATTCGAAGAATAGGCGCGGGGATCACATAAAAAGTCCAGTTGATCCAAATATCCATTAGTCCCAAAATCGGGTGTCCAGTTGTGGACACCCGATTGCTATTAGTTAGTACGGCGCCCGNTGTATATATACAGGGTGTTTCAGAACTATGGGATCAAACTTCTAGGGGTTATTCAGTGCAACAGTAGAAAACATTTGAGTATAGGGACCCATGTCTGGAAAAGTGTCACTACCGCACTACGGCCCTAAGACGCGTTAAAATTTAGAAAGACGATGAATTGCCTAAATAGGATTTAATGCATTTAATGTTTGCCTTTTGTACATGATATCATCACAACAATTGTTCAAAATGTCAAAAGGCAAAAATTAAATGCATTAAATCCTATTTAGGCAATTCATTGTCTTTCTAAATTTTAACGCGTCTTAGGGCCGTAGTGCGGTAGTGACACTTTTCCGGACATGGGTCCCTATACTCAAATGTTTTCTACTGTTGCACTGAATAACCCCTAGAAGTTTGATCCCATAGTTCTGAAACACCCTGTATATATACATGCACGCTTATTCCTGCACAACATCCTGGGAACGGCTTGTATTGGCCTTTTCATTCTTAGTTTTAATTTTCACGAGACATTCGTTTAAAATTTCTAAGGTTTTAGCAAAGTTCAATAGTCTTAATATTCAAGATAGGGGGGGGGGAGAATGCTGTTGCATGCGTACGGTTTATCAATAATTGCATTGATTGAGCACAAAAAAGTTAGGTACTAGCCAGTTAGATTGTAACCGGACCGTATTTTAATCTGAGCTAAATTTTTCGGGTGCCATCTAATTTGACTCTCTAATTAAGAAGAAAAGATTTATCTTTACTGCCGGAAACCGGCTCATCAAGGATATCCGTCTTCTCGTTTTTGTTACTGCCACAGGAACCTCTGTTGGACCCGAGGACTTTGCTGCATTAGCTTCTCGCTGTTCTACATTTGGCTACTGTCTTTTGAATCACCAGGTAATTATTGTTCATTGAATAAAACACTTTGTTTTTATATAAATAATAAGACACTTTTATTTGCGTACTTATACGCATGTTTCAGTTACAATTATGGAACGACCCGATGTTTGCGCCTTGAATACGCAATTTGCGATACTCAAAGATAGGATTGTTGCACAAAAACATTTTATTATACGATCTGAAAAATTTTCCGGTCACAAAGGAAGGGAAAAAAGGTTTTTTTTTAAATATTAATAATTGGATGAAAATATTAATTATTGGAAAAGAAAAATTTAGACCGTTTAAATCGGCCTCCTTTTTGCGCGTTGGCTGCGTGACGTCACCTGCTGGTACGCGCGCGGTAGACTGATTACATTGCCTATATAAACGTGTATACATCAATTGAAAATATGGATAATACGGATAAAAACACGGCAAATTCAAAAACGAAAGGCTCGTATAAGTAGTGTTTTGTATATAAGTGTACTAATACAAGTATAAAAACATCGGGAAAAATATTTTTAACTGTGCCATGTGATATTAAACGTCGAAAATTATGGTTACGAATGGCAAGGCGGGACGACATAACAAATCCACCAACAAGTTGCTTGTTTTGCTGCGAAGATTATTTTAATGTACAGACGGCGTCATTAATTCGAAGAATAGGCGCGGGGATCACATAAAAAGTCCAGTTGATCCAAATATCCATTAGTCCCAAAATCGGGTGTCCAGTTGTGGACACCCGATTGCTATTAGTTAGTACGGCGCCCGTTGGCGCTACGAGCAACCGCCCCGCTTGTCCTCCGATCCCCGCGCCTATTCTTCGAATTAATGACGTCTGTACGTATATGTGTACATATATAATATAAATGTCAAGTGCCACTTGTAAAAAACACATCCAAAGTCACAAGGCATCAAAGCAAACTAATTACATGAAATAAATATATATAAATAATTAAAATATATATATATGTAAGTAAATATAAATATATAAATAAATATATATATAAATAAAAAAAATAAATGACATATAGATTAATAATATAAATAAATTAGATTAGATATATTTATAGAAGACTGATTTTGCATAATTGTAGAATTGTTAATAAGTAATTGATATAGAGAGGTTCTGGGCCAAAATACATATAGTTTTAAATGGAAAAAAATGTCATTCTCTGTCTTTGTCTAGCTACAGGAAACATACTATAAGATAGAAAGAGAGAGTCGACAACCGATGGCACCGCGAGAGGTAGGGGGAAAAAGAGGGGGTAACCGCGCGATGAAAGGGGGAAAGGGAAAGGAGTGGTCATGTGTGTTCAAGTCGGTTGAATGATGACGTCATCGCTAAAATGTTAATTGCGCATTAAAATAAATAATTCCGAGAAAAACCGCAAATTTCCCGAAAACGGTTTGCGTATAAAAATAAATAGCGCGCGGTTTGTAATTGCGCAGCAAATAACTAAAAAATTTTTGAAAAAAACCGCAATTTCACGGAAGTGCGCTTTTTTCTTATCGTCCGAAACGATTAAGCACTTCCGGATTCATGACGCACTTCCTGCAATACCGACCGCATGAAAAAACCGTTACGTACCGAGATGTGGTTTTGTAAATTGCAATTTCAAACCGAAAGATGTTGAGGAAAGATAAGGAGCAAAATAAAAAGGCGCCTCGAGGTTGAGAGCGATTCACAAGTCATTTTGATCGCGAATCGTATAGATAGCAAGTCGTTGTTGTTGTTGAAAATGTTTAACGGATCGAACACGATGTGTATTTTAAACCTATCGGTCAAAGAGTTGAAAAACATTCCAAAGAGGATTCTTCTAAAAGTGTTCGATAATTACGTGGAGCTTTTGTGGGACCGATTGCCTGAGCATTTGAAGGAAGATCCTGAAATGCAGCTGTATCGTAGATGTCTCGAGCATTACAATCAACAGGGAGATTACGATCACATTGATGGACCTGCCCCGCTGAAAAAATATTGTCGCGTGTGTATTGCGAAAGCCACGATGAAAAATCAAGAATGAATCAGATCAGACAACCGAAATCGCTTCAGTTCCTAGTTGCAAAAACAGTAGCAAAACATGTAGACGAGTACATTAAAATATACAAACTTGAAATTCCTTACGTGTGCAACGACGCAATACGAGAGATCTGGTTCGATGTACGGCTCTACCGCTACGATCGCGATATACATTGGTTATCGGTGCACGATCTACCTGAGAAACAAATATGGGAAGCGGAAAACAATTTTGACGAAGAGGACTTTAAAATCTTGCACCTATCCGCGCTCGCAATTAGAGAATACGATTGGCTTCCAAGATACGTCAAGACTGTCAATCACATCGAAATCGCATACATCGAGTTTAGAACGAGTTGCGCGGATCTGAAGCATCTGTCTCGCTTGTGCTTTCAAAGCGCATTGCGAGTGTGGGAGTGGGGTAAAAGACAACATCGGTACAAGTGGTTGCAGAATAGATGGATAAAAGTCACCGGACATCAAATGATCAAAGACGCTGATTTCATGACAGATGTTATATGGAATCCAGAGCAATGGTGTACCAACTGCTATAGACGACCGTTGTTTGTTTTATATACAGAAGACGATTGTTATTGGAATACCGAGTGGCACAAGGTTGCATCTCTTGACGATGAAGACTATGAGCAACTAATGAATGAAAAGATAAAAAAGCGTAAATTGAATGCAACAAATATATACGATCCAATAATACTAACGTGAGTAAACAATTATATATATATGAGTATAAGCAAAGACAAACATGAACGATCGCGAACCGCTTGAAGAAGAAGCCGCGCTCCTCGACACGTTGGACGATTCCATCTCGTGGGAGGAACGGTGTGACAAACGTCTAGAGACACTGAGAGAAGAGTGCCGTAGAAAACGCCCGCGACCGTCCACAAGTGTGATAAATTGGCACATTGCTCGTATCGCGCGACTCGAAAGTCTGCGCGCAGCCCTTCGCGAACGATTCGCTCACGTGGGCGCGGGTGTCGAAAGTGCGGGACTCGCATGGATCGAAGTCGAGACAGCGTTTAAAAATCGTTTGGTGACCGGCATCGTGGTAAACAAGTCGTTCATCGAGCCCCATCGATTTCTCTAAGCAGCTAAAGACACGGTGCTCGGGCGCATTCATAGAGCGATCGCGCGGCACGCTAGTGTGAAAGTGAACACAGTGTTCAACGGCAAGTTTGTCGCGGGTGAAAAAACGAGTGTAAAATCGATTAATACGCGAAATCGCGCATTTTATCACTCGTCGGATCTGCGCGAGTGGTACGATCGAGATGTGATGCAACAATGACCGCTCTGGAGGAGTTCCAAGAACGCGACAGCGGCTGGGCGTTGACGCAAATACTAAACCTCACAGTAAATGTAAACAGTCACAATCCGATGCGTGCAGGATGTCAGATTAAAATATCGCGAGAAGTTTAGCTCAAACACGCGGTAGTGAACGTACAATCGCGGGACAATGCGTGTTTCGCGTGAGCAGTGGTTGCCGCGTTATATCCAAGTGCTTCACATCTTCAACGAACATCACATTATTCCGCGTACGCGAGTGTGTTGAACTTTGATGGAATAGAGTTTCCACTGACATTATGTCAAATCGCGCGGTTCGAACGCAACAACAACGTGTCCGTAAACGTATTTACGGCTGCGGAACAGGGACACGGATACGTGCCGCTGCATCTCACGTCGAACAAAAAAGAGAAGCATGTGAATCTACTGTATGTTCCCGATCAACACAATGGACACGTGGGACACTTTGCGTGGATAAAAAATTTATCGCGTTTCGTCAGCTCGCAATTGAGCAAAAGGAAGACAGCACAGTACATATGCGATCGGTAAGTACGAACTATCGGTGTAACAACAACAATGTTGAATAAAAAAAGTAATTTTCCAAATTGTGAGATGGTGAACTCATTAATCAATGCTGTGTGTATTGTTCGTTTATTGCAACACATACATAGATGTCTACACTACTTCCACACAAGCGATAAGCTGGCGGTACACACTGTGGATTATGAACGATTGAACAACAGCGCAGTCGTTCTTCCCGCTGAGGAAAAGAACTGTTTGAAATTTGAGAATTACAACAACAAGGAACGGGTTCCAATGGTGGTGTACGCCGACTTGGAGTGCGTACTCGAGAATCAGGACAAAGCAGTGTTGCTAGATCGGGCCGGCCAGCACCAAGAGCACCAAGGTGGTGGGGGCACGCATACAGACTCGAACGGAATTCAGCGATCTCTCTACCGAGAACTTCGAAGTGCTCACGCGAAAAGGTGTGTTTCTGTACGAATATGTGGACAGCGTCGACAAATTGTTGGAAACCAGTCTGCCACCGCGCGAGGCGTTTTACAGTTCGCTGACCGGCGACACTGTGACGGAGAGCAAGTACGCGCACGCGACGAACATGTGGCAACGATTCAACATCGACAATTTGGGATCTTACAGCGACCTGTATCTGAAGACAGACGTACTTTTGCTGGCCGATGTATTCAAAAACTTTCGTCGCGAGTGCCTCGCGAGTTACGGACTGGATCTCGCGCACTTCTACACGCTGCCGGGATATACATTGGACGCTATGTTGAAGTACACCTGTGTGACGTTCAAGCTGCTGACTGACATCGACATGGTAATGTACGTGGAACGCGGCGTACGCGGCGGTTTGAGTCAATGTTCAAACAGATACGCCCGCGCCAACAACAGATACGCGCGTTCGCACGATCTATCCGAACCGTCGTCGTATCTGATGTACTACGACGTTAACAATCTCTACGGATGGGCGATGTGTCAACCGCTTCCATATGGTAACTTTGCGTGGGTGGAGAACGCGTACGAGTTCAATGGGACAACGGTAGCGGCGGACAGCAACGTTGGCTACATACTCGAGGTCGATCTGACGTATCCGAAAGAACTGCACGACGCGCACAGAGATCTACCCTTTTGTCCAACGCGTGAGGAGCCGCCTGGTAAACATGGAAAAAATCACGTCAAACTGCTCGCCACAGTGTTCAACAAGAAGCGATACGTGATTCACTACCTCAACCTGCAGCAGTGTCTGCGATACGGGCTTCGCTTGACGCGAATACATCGAATACTGCGGTTCTCGCAATCGCCTTGGCTGCGCGGATACATCGAACTGAATACCCGATTCCGCGCGAACGCCACCAACGAGTTTGCAAAAAATTTTTATAAACTTATGAACAACGCGGTGTTCGGCAAGACAATGAAGAACGTGCGCAAGTACACCGACGTACGACTCGTTACAAAATGGGAAGGACGATGCGGTGCGGAGGCGCTAATTGCAAAACCAAACTTCCACAGTTGCAGCGTGTTCGCTGAAGATTTAGTGGCAATAGAACTGCGTCGTCTGGAAGTTTTATTCAACAAACCGTTGTACGTTGGTATGTGCATACTCGACATATCAAAGACCTGTCTGTATGAATTCCATTACGACTACATGGCGCCGTTGTACGGTTACGATTGCAAGATCCTCTACACCGATACCGACAGTTTAATATACCACATAAAATGCGAGGATGGATACGAGGATGTGAAGCGCGATATCGCTCGCTTCGATACGAGCGACTATCCAGCGGACAATCTATACAACATGCCTCGCGCAAACAAGAAGGTACCGGGACTTATGAAGGATGAGAACAACGGTGCTGTTATGACGGAGTTTGTGGGTTTGCGCGCAAAGATGTACGCGACTCAAGTGGGCGACAGCAAGTGCACGAAGAAGGTGAAAAGTGTGAAGAGAAGCGTCGTCGCGAGAACGATCACCTTCGACGACTACGTGCAATGTCTGCGGAACGCAATCGAACTGACGCGACAACAGTCGTGCATACGATCCTAGTTGCACGAGGTGTTTACCATGTCGGAACGGAAGCTTGCTCTGAGCCCGCACGACGACAATCGGTACATCATCCATGGATCGACCGACACCTTACCGTGGGGCCACTACAAGATCCCTAACTTAGACTAGATTATGTTGTTGATATAATAATAATACATTAAATGAAGTATATGTAATTGTTTGTTTATTGTATTAAAAAAACCATATGTACTACTGTATAAAATAGGTAAGAATAAAAGAAAATACACATAACATAATAATAATAGTAAACCACATTGTTCTTATGTATCCAGAAATTGTGTGAATTGTTTAGTCCTAACCATTTAACGAACACCTCGTTGCCTCGATGACGCAGAACCTTTTCTACTAGATACACGTCCGAATGTTTAACCGCGTACAACTCGTGCTCATAAAATCCGCCGGCTATTGGTTCACCGCGATAATCCTCGAGCAGGTAGGTCGCTGGTAAAGTGTGTTGCACCTTTTAACGCGGAACACCTTGGTGGTCCAGTTTGGAGTATAACCTTTTGCAAAGACAGTTTTGTACTTGCTCACGCGCACAGGATCGCCGACTGTGAATCGCGCCGGTCCTGCGATTTTAACGTTGCTGTACACCGTGCGCAGGAGTCGCTCGCTCAACACCGGCGTTACGTCGATCGGCCGCGCGCTGATGGTGCGATGCTTGCGCGCGTTGTACTCTGCCACAAGTCGCTGCAGATCGTCGATCCAGCAAAACGATCCGTTTAGCGCAAATATTTTCCACATGTTGTTCTTGAGCGNGCGATTGAAACGCTCAACCACCGACGCTTTCATAACAGAATATTTGGAGTAGTGATTGACACCGCGCCGATGCAGAAAGCTTTTCCACATCCGCGTTGTAGAACTCCTTTCCGCGACCGGTTTGCAGATTCTTCGGGCAACGATCGTCGACGCGAAAGATCTTTGCGAACGCCCCCCAGCGACCGAAGCGCGATATCGCTCGCTTCTAGAATCCACCGGCTATAAGTTCACCGCGATAATCCTCGAGCAGATAGGACGTTGGTGAAGTTTGTTGCATCTTTTTTTTAACACAGAACATCTCAGTGGTCCAGTTCGGAGTGTAACCTTTGGCTAAGACGGTTGCGTTTTGCTCTTAAGCGGCAACGCTCACGCGTATTTGCTCAACACATTGAGGACTGTGAGAATGTAATTGTGTCTTTGTTCTGGCAAAACCTAAGGCAGCATCTCGACAGCCTGTCACAGATTGTCGTAACCGTGTACGACTACTCGTCTGCGCGGAAAGTAGCGTCGCGCGGGCGCGTGCAGCTCCTCTGTGAGCTCTCTCTTCTCGACGCGCATCTTGATTATAGCTGCTTGTCTCGCTTATTCTCACACGAGTTCCATGTATTGTGTGTCTTGCAAACGACGTACAACATGTTGCGCACATTTCGTTTTTACAGAGACTCACTCAGTAACTTTTTTGTTTCTGTTTCCGTGCGCGAATTTTTTACCTGCAGTAATCGATCGTACGCGTTTTGTCGCAGAGTCTCAACCGCCTCTTCCACTTTTTTGCGAAATTGATCTAGATCTTTTCTCAAGTTTTCTATCTCACGCGGATCCACACCCCGCGGTCTTGTCTCCAGCTTCAACAATCGGTCGTATGCGTTTGTTCGCAGATGCTCAACGGCATCGATCATTTCTTTGCTTGACTGTTCCTCATATTTTTTAAGATCGTTGAAGTCGCGTCGATCAACGAAATGTGTCGCGCTTTTCTCCAAGCTCGACAACCGCTTTTCCGTTGCCTCAGCGCGCGACAACGCAGTCGCGGAGCTATCTCGCAGATTATCCACAGTTTCCTTAAGTTTTGCTATGGAGTTCGTTGTAGTGTCCGAGAGCGCGTCCACGTTTGCGCCCAAGATAACTGCAGCGTCGAACGCTCGCAAGAAAGCGTCGTCTATGTAGATCTTGGTCGCGGCGACGGAACTGTTTCGCGGTTTCGTCAATCGGGTTATCACACGCTTCTTCGCATCATATTCAGGTGACAACGATGATGTGGATAAACAGAGAGCGTTGTGGCGTATGTAATTGCGCAAATTAGCTAGTCGAAAGCGTTCTCCGTCATTGTAGTCGTAACCGCGACTTTGCAACGGTGAATCAAACTTGTTAACGCTCATCGCGCGCAAATAAAACTGTCGATGTTCGCTGAGTAATGGCTCAATTTATAATTACTCCCGCTCTGCAAAGCTCCTTGATGATGGACAAAAACTCGTTGTTGGTTGATATTTGCTCTGTACAAATATTACGATCGTCGCGCCTCCCTTCCCTCTCGATTTCAACCGCGCAACAATCGCAGCAACTAATTAATCACCGATAATTTAAAACAATTGTGGGGTCGCGGCGCCAAGCGTAGCGCGCGTTTCAAACGACAAAACGCTTATGCAGCCGTTCCCGATACAGATATCAAACGTCAAAAACGCGAACGGCAACGCGCGTATGCAACCGTTCCCGATACGGATATCAAACGTCAAAAACGCGAACGGCAACGCGCGTATGCAACCGTTTCCGATACGGATATCAAACGTCAAAAACGGGAACGGCAACGCGCGTATGCAACCGTTCCCGATACGGATATTAAACGTCAAAAACGCGAACGGCAACGCGCGTATGCAACCGTTCCCGATACAGGTATTGAACGGCAACGCGCGTATGCAACTGTTCCCGATACAGGTATTGAACGTCAAAAACGCGTTTCAAACGGTTGCATACGCGCGTTGCCGTTC